AGTTTGAGTACATGGCCGGTTATAGGCAGTTCTTATATTGAAGACCGTCTTAAATTTAGTCTTGAGATATCATGAATCAATCAGAGGGCATTAGTGTCTTAAGGTATTACTAAAGACAATCTTAAAATAAAAATTGATTATGGATACCAGTCTATGTAAACTTGCTTTTTTTAAAAAAAAGGAAGAAAATGCGTTAAGAGTGTGTGCTCCTCGGAAAAAATTACACATATAGTTAAATCTAAATATCAAGTTGAATTCTCCCAAATTAAAAAGTAAAACCCAAGTGACATTAAAAAATTTTTCTAAAGATCGAACTGAATTGCCGATCTCTATCGAGGGGTGATGCGCGACTTGCATCGCGATTGCCTACGAGCTTATTCATCCAATCGTAATTGTAATCGTAATCCGCAAAGCGCCGATCGATTCTGGCCACGCGTCACGTGCAGCCTCCAACAACCCGCTCGTGTATGTACCGCAGCTCGATATTGTTAGACGTGGCTCGTGTATCTGGGTCAGCGACGACGGCTATAATATCCTACACCTCTGTGCGTCATGCGCATAAATCCACGCACACTACATTGCATATGGCCGCGTGAGTGAGTGATATGTGCAAACGACTTCACGATCATGACCCCATGTATGTATACTTCTTGCCGGCGCACCTAGTCGTGCCCAACGCGAAAGCACACGGCCAGTAATGAGATCTCGATTAATCCGTTACCGTCAGGTTCTCATCTCAATGGTTCTGATTCATCCAATGATGTCGGACTCTCAATTTGACGTTCGTTTTGTGTCGGATTAATACCGTAAAGTGCGTCTGCATTTGCGATACATATCGTGGAAGTTGTTCGACCGCTATAACGCGATTTAATTCCTCGATTCGAACGTTCGAAGTAATTTTAATTGCTTCGAATATCGTGAATTAATGAAAGATTTATTCTCTTTTATATATTGAAGACTTTCGACAGAGATATACGCGTTTGTCGTTAATACACATCGCGACACCGCAGGAAAAAGTCATTCGCTTTCACCTTCCATCGCGTCGTGGTGAAAAAACATCTTAGCATTCAGCATTCAAGAGTAAAATCATCCTGTCCCGTCATATTAAAAGTTAGAAATTGTTTTTCCATTCACGAGATGTTTCTAAAACTTTTGCTCACAAAATCAGCGAAACCAAAATATTTCAGTTCCATAATAAATCGCCGCGTCGAAATTCGAGATAGCGGTTCCATCACATATATGAAAAAAGTTATTTTTTTGTTTCTTTGTGTTCTATTAGGACTTAACGTCTCTATTCACGCATAGCTCCACTGCATTTCTTTCAGCGAATAAAAATGAAAGCATTCGTTCCAATTGACATTACTTAATCTTTTTTAAGAAAAGGAGGAAAAGAAGAGATTGCGATAATATTTTTCGTTCGATTCTTAAAAGTTACCGATTACTTTACTGATGAGATCCACAAGATGCACTTATCTCAGCCGCGATCAAATGCAAATTCGGTAAGCTGCTTGTTTCGCGTGCTTACGAAGTAAGAAGGGAGAGAAGCGGACTCGATCGTGCAAGACTGACTAGCTAGGGGATAGATATGGAAGAAGACGCGCCGGATTATGCGAATTAATTCCGAAAGTGCAAACTCTTTCAGCTTCTTATCTCGGAGATCAACTTAACGAAACCCTCCTGCTTTGGTTTTCTTTGCATACATAATGGACGCCGTGACCTTATTACTCCGGACGCGGAATTCACTTTCGGCAGACGTCAACCGACAATCTCCTTTACTGTCAGCTGAAACAAAGCGGTGCTGTCAGGGTGCTTTAATGCCCCAAAAATCCTTGATCGCATCAGACGTTCTTTAACGCTTACTGGCATATCGAATTATAGTCCTCGATGTCAGTTTTCAGTTACGCGTATTACCGGCGACAAATTATATCGTATGTATTTTAATTTTCATTATGCCGAAATGAAGAATGTCGTTAGTCGAAAGTTTATCATAAAATCGTCAATTGAAAATGTTTATTATATAAAATGAAATCAAATTTGTGCATTATAACTTAACATAGTTTGTAACGGTGCGCTCTGAACCATCGCATTGTTTCCGGCGAACAGTTTACAGTATGTTTGGGGATCATGTGGCTACGCTTCAATAATCTATGATCTATGACATCTATGTAATCATCTACAAGCTTGAACTGCTACAGTATAAACAGAGGAACAGTTCATTATATTCGTAAGTGTGTTAGCTGACTCCGCCAAGTCTGTTCTGGATAAGCTTGATGCTGATGTATAATAGTCTCAAGTGAGAGAGGGAAGCTTATTGAGAGATTCGGATAATTAACAAAATAGATTAGTGCTGACAAAGCAGAAACGATGACAATCGAAGTTTTGCAGTGAATGTTAATTTATAATTATTCTAATTATACCATTTTTTATTGAGATAATTGAAGCAATGCATAATTGATTATGAAATAATTTAATGCAATAATCTAACAATCTTTTATCTAGCATTTAACTTAGCCGGATCTTCGACTCCTTGATCATTGTATTTGTTTCGTAATACAAGTTTATTTGGTTATTCTATTCAAATTTTTTTTGATTGGAATAACACAATTTTTAATGAAAAAGTAACAAAGCCTTTGTCTTTCTGTTAGTCACATATCAACAAAATAAATATATAGTTATTTATTTTTCTCGGTGCAATACTCGCGATGGTAGTATATTGTTAGAGTTTATGAAATAGATCTGTGAAACTGTGGTACATCCAAATGCGAATTTCGATAAAATTAACATCGCATTCGATTGTCCACCATTTGTTCACATTTGTCGACCAAACAAAAATTTTTATCCATCCTCGAAAAAAAATTTGCAATTATTTATGTCACAGATAATAACAAATATTTAATATTAGTATTTCACAATTTTGTAAGCTATTCTCCTCCTCCCCCCAAGTTGAGAATAATTTCTACAAACAAGAGAAGTCTATGTACATGATATTCATCATTTGTTGTTTATGAATGGAGATATTTGCATAAATCTTTTGTTTCAGCTTCGTTAAATCGGTATAAACGCGATTGAGTTTACGAACCGTAACTGAGTCGTCAAACTTTAGGATCTCATCATTGAGAGCAGGCTCGACGAGACAAGATATCGAGGGATATCTTGCGAAATTTAGACGGAGACGCAGAGAGATTGTTCTAACTAGTATAATAGACAGTTAGCTAACACGAGAGGTTAACACCGAGGCCGTGTCGCAGCTAGATTTCCAGTGACGAAGTTGATTTTGATTAACGAAGAGACGCCACGCGTCGGCGTTGTCATACGTAAACAACGCTAATTATACAAGGAAATTTTGGCTCGCTCTTCCCCAACGAACTGTGATAATGTCCACGAGGAGAGTCTCAGGAAGAACGGTGGACGGCACAGCACCGTAATATTGACGCTCCCGGCTCAATGAAGCCGGATCGGCAAACACGGCGATTGATTAATTTTATCTCCCGGATTAGCGTCAGAGACACGAAACTCACTTTCGAGGATTCGCCCTTTTAATGATTTTTGTGCGCTCTGATTGGACGGGCGTTCACGGTTGACACAGCTCCTAGTCCATAATTGCGCGCGTGTTGAAAGGAGGCTGCGAATGATAGTGACACAATTCCGTTGCTATATTGCTATGACTAAAAAGAATGAATACGTCCGATAGGCCGTGTTGATGTGGAGTTCTCGTATCCTAGCGACTAAATGAAATTGTATAACAATGGACGTGAACATCGTCTTAAAGTGGGATAATCAAACATGTGTAAAAAAAAGAATCATGTCTTTATAGTGAATATTGAGCTATCAAAGTCAATTATGGCTCGTTTGAAAGAGAATTGTTTAAATTATGATAAAAAAAATATTGTGATAAATACAATTTATAAAATATAAAAAAATTTTTTAAATAATAAGATCGGAAAGTGTTGTCAAATTATCTACGAAACTTAAACCTTAACTACTTACCTCAAACTACCAAAATATAGTTAATATGACACTAACAACTTCTTTGAAACGAATATTATCGAAACTATAAAAAAATTTTTCAATTAAAGTTGAATAGTTAAAAGTTTAATACTTTATAATAATAATAATTAAAAAATTGTTTTAATTTTTTAAATAAATAATTGTTTATTAAACAAAAATTTTTTATCATTATTATAAAATATTCTAAAACTATTCAACTTTTATTGAAAGTATTTTTTCCATCTCTTATAGTTTTGACGATAATCGCTCCAAAAGTAATTGATTGTTTACCTGCATAGTAACGAAAAAGAATGAACGGTGAAACTGCATAAAACTATTGTTGAATTGAAATAAAATTTAGCGCGGTAAAATTTTGTTATGCAGTTATAGAAAATATCAAAAATATATTAATGTAATTTTACATAAATAATACGGATAATATAAAAATAACGCTTTATGAACCATAATTGAGAATAGGTATCAAATTGGAGAGTACCCAGTCTCGGCGATTCTATAGTGTAACTATTTTAATACAGAAAAATTTCTGAAATGTAACTGTAAACGATAAAAGAGTACATAAATTGTAAAATATATGTATAAAATTAAAAAAATGTTTTTAATACGAACTTTTTTGCACTTGCGGTAAAAAAAAAATGCATTTTATAATGAAAGTCGAGGAGACACTCTAGACCGCCCTCTCTAGATTGTATGTGCTGTTTTAATTTAGAAATACGCGTTTATTTCGCAACGTGTTCATTTCAGGATTAATGTGACCCACATTCTCTTTTTAATTAAGCCGTGACTTTTTAACTGCCCCCATAAGATAGTTTACACCATCAGTGTAAAATTATCGGTTATTGTTTACGAAAGTGAAGTGAGTATAGATACTGTCTATAATAAAATAAAGTGGAGCAGGTGACATAGTAACTCAACCCACGATAGCGATGATTTATATCGAAAGAAGTAAAGAGAAAGTGGAAATATAATTTCTCAAATTTAATAAAAAAAAAATAATGCAAAGTTTCAATGCGTAAGTTTTAAGTATATAGATACTTTTACGTTCGATTTATATTCTACCGTACAGAGTTATCGAATCGAAAAGACAAATGACAATCACAGTTTGTTTGACCCTTACAAAAGTTTTCTCCCTTTGGAGTTGAAACAGTCCGCACTGTTTACAGAGCGGTTATAATCTCTATAGAATCAAACATTACGTTTGTTCCAGAGGTGACGATGTACAACGATCGATCGAGTTGTTGGACAAGGTGCTCTCAGAGTACGACTTGCGTGGGGAGCGGAAGCGGCGGAGGCATCGGGGATTGTGGCAGTAGCACGGAACCAAGTATTGGTCTTACGCCCGACGACGAGAGTCCGTCCTTAGGTACTCTTTTTCCCGCTTTTATCGTCTCTCCCCGTTTCTTATTTCCCAAAACGGGACTACTACTGTCCTCTCCCCTATTTACCGAGCGCAATTAACTGACGTTCGCACGAAGGATGCCACTTGGATTTTTTGCTCTTGATGTTTATTGTTAATCTTTCTTTTTTTACGCAAAGGATATTGATAAAAACGAGAAAAGATGATTATTTTTCTAGGAAAATAAGATTTATTTTTAGAAAAATATAAGAAATATTTTGTACGTGTTCCTTTAGAATTAAGTGAAGGTCTTTGAACTTTAGCATTTCTCAAGATTTGCTCGATTTTCTTTGAGGACTTGAAAATAATCCGGATGTTTTTCAAAATTCTGCCGATTCGGTCTGTTTTTCCTTTTATACATGGAACAATTGGTTTCTCTTGTTGTAAGTAACTCATCCTGTAGTTGTGTATCTGAGTTCTTTGCTGTGCTTTTATGTTTGCTGATTGTTTGGAAATCTCAAATCAATTAGAAGGTTTCTTTGTCAAAAATCGAATGTGGATTGGATGAGATAATTTAAATATTATTAATATCAATTTATTCCTCAAATATGTTCTTCATTGATGCACTTTTTACTCTTGCATTTTTTACACAAAAATGTCTTTTACTCACGAAAATAAAAAATATTTTGCGCAAATTTTAGAACTCGTTTTTTCTACGCGGCTTTGTGTAATGCCGAGTGAATATTTTTAGCTAAATTGACCAATACCTGATTGAATGGAAATCAATATCTCGAATTCTCGAATACACACACTAATAATTTGACATACTCGATGGCGAGAATTAGTTCGGTTCTTTTTTTTCCTGGATATTCGTCACGAAACATATATTCAGTGGATTTTACGAGTATATCCGCTAGTTATTGTTAAAAGTTTACTTGCACCGCGAACTATAGTCATTTTTCCGTTTACTGACTAAATCCTCAGATGATTTTTTTTCTTATTCAGAGGCTGGTATAAGAACAATTATTTTGTTCTATTCTAATGCGGATAATTCTCGTAGTGGGCGACCAGCGATTTCATTTTATCCGATTACGACGCGCAGCTAAACGCTTTTGAAGGCAATAAATTAGAGAAGCTTATCGCTTCTTAAACGAAGCCTATTGCGACTTCTTCAATAATTTAAATATTAATAATAATAATAACGATAGTTCTAATAATAATAATAACAGTAATTTAAATAGTAATAGCAATTTAAATAATAATATAATAATATTAAGAATTCAGTCAGTTTTTCTTCTTGCAGCGTTCTTCCCTCTTCAAATTACTGTGTTCCTTTACCTCAGCTCCTTTCCCTCAGTCTGTTTCCTTTCCCTCGGTTGTGGCTTCCCCGCCTCCACCTCGTCCTCATTCTCGTTCTCCTTCGCCTAACGTGGAATCAATCTCATCCTTACCTAACGAATTTTCCCTGTCACTCTTCCTCCTTCCCCCAACACAATCTCCCTAACTTCCTGTCCCCCTTCCTCTCATCCTTCTCCTCCCGCAGTTTCCACGATTTCGATCGTGGAGTTTGTTGAGAAACTTCTCCCACCGCGTTCCCGTTATTTTTATCAGTGTAGATATCAAATCCTTAGAATCCTTGATTTTCCAATTTCAAATTTCAACTGCTTCTCTTTCTTGAGAGTGAATACCTTCACAATCGGCCCCGACAATTTAGATTCCGATTAAGTTCGAGTTCGAGCTTATGTCTGCAAAAATATCTACACCCACACATCTCATTTATTTATTTAGTATTAATTTTTGAATCTTTAATTTACATACCACACACACACACTAGGTAGAATGTCCAATTTCAATTCACAAATTACCAAATGCATTCGTCAAAACCAAGTTACTTAAGTGCATTTGACTCGCTTCATCCCCTTCACGCGGATGCATACGTATAGTATATATAAATTCACATAGAAATATACAAAAAAAAGCACTTAAGATCCAGCTAGAAAGAATTTTATAAAGTAGACACTCTAGAAAATCAAATAAGGTTTTTACATGAGAAGCACGTATAAACAGCTTGTAAAAAACGCATTTTATGAGGAAGACGAAAAGAAAGGATAGGAAAAGGTTATCGTCGAATGCAGCCCCGACTTATCGGATAGCGGATCGTCGGATGTAGGAGCCTTTGACTTAGCTGACGTTTTCCTTCGAGATATATATTTTTCCTTATTTCCATTGAAATGCTCCTACGAATGTACAACATAAACCTGCCGATTTGGCGGCCTGCCATTCAATCCGCGAAAAATCGGCGTAAAAGCGTGCACACCCTCGCTCTCAAAGGGAGAGGAAGAGATGAGAGTCTGACTCTCTTGTACAGAAATCATTGGCATTCTATCGACAGCGCTCACTCTCGCCGGTATACCTGCGAATGATAGTGAGTGGTTGACAAGGGATTATTTACTCTCATGCTACTCAGAGAAGAACATAGTGGTAACATAAGATGATAATTATACAAGCTTTATGTATGTAAAATTAATGTACATTTATAATTGAACATGCTGTAATACATGTAATATGTACATAGTTGAATAAACTATGTTACGTTATACGATCATACGTGATCATTTTGTACATGATATTATATTCGTATATGATTATGCATAATCGTATACGATTATGCATGATCATATACAGTTTTGTCCAAATTAGTATATGACTATGTATGACCGTATATGATCGTATACATGACCATGTCAGGTAAAAAACTCATGCATGATCATAAATGGAGTTTTCACACATGATTATATATGACCATTTTTTCTCGAATAATTACAGTTACAAATATAAAAAAATTTTTTTAGTTTATAAGTCTAAAGTGTGTTAAAAAGACGAGAAAAAAATGATTGAACCTATCGATTTTTTTATTTGCTTTCTCGAATTGTTCTTAATAGTTTAAGATATCAGTACTTGCAATCGTGGCAGCGTATTTCTAGGATCATGAAATACTGATGAATATCGATGTAGATAATGCGATTCTCATTCGATTTCGGAAACTGTTTGAAAAGGATCGTAAAAGACATTGTGTTCAGAATACATTTGAAGTTCGTTGGATTAAATGGTTTTCTGGAAAGTCTCGCGAGGATATCCCTTCTTTCTCTGCGCGCTTCCATATTTCTTATTTTGTATTTGCTCTTGAAAAATTTGTCATATGTCGCAAAATGTATGCCAGCAGGACACCAATCCGAAGACGACGGTTACATGAGCATGAATGGTCGGAAAACAAAAATGGCGCTGTTAGCATTACGTCCGGTTCCGGATTGTCCAGAGCCTCAAGATCTAGCAGGTGTTTCGACGCAAGAATTTCCACCACCCCCGGAAGAAGCCGAACGTATTATTTCAACTCTTCTACCAATGTAAGTATAGGATAAAACGGGATAATTTGGATAGGTTAACAGAAAATTTTTGAAATTGTATAAAAGATTGAAGTAGTATTCAATTAAACATACAAAACATTATTACATGAATAGTATATATTTTATATATGATTAATTGAATACACAGTATGCGCGACTTGAATTTTTCATATATTTTCAGAATTTCTGTTAATCTATCCAAATTATCACGCTTTACCTTAAGATACACATCGATCAATAGCGATGTATTATTTCCTCTTTCAGATTGTCATCTATCAGTTACAACCATGTGTTTCGACTCTTAATTTATCGAAATTTATTATTAATTTTCAAAAATGTTAGGATATTAAAAAAAGTACAATGATTAGAGTATTATTTTACACGTATATAAACAAAGAATTTAATAATGGTTTTATGACATAGGGTAACTCCGCAGTATTTACACCGCAAAAATCGGAACAGATTGAAGAAGTGGGAGTAATTTGCACACAACCACTCTTTTATATGCCTTTATGTTACAATATATTAATATTGTGTCAAAATTTCAGATTTTTATTGTTAATACTAATAAAATTACTGTCAATTAAATTAATTTGTCAATGTAGTAAGTAGCGCAATCATAACCCATATAAAATGAGTACCATAGGAATTGTAAAAAGCTTAATAGTGATAAATGTATAAGATAATAAAGAATGGAGTGTTTACATATACTCAATAAGCTATTAATATAATAAGTTATTAATAAGGTACTAATTCCAGGATAAGCTCAACTTTTTAATCAAATTGATTCTGATGTTACATTTCTTCAAAAAAAGTTTTTTTTTTTTATTTTTACATACAGTTTTTATTTTTTTATTATTCTTATGTGTAGAATTATTTTATAGTGTTTATTTTATAGTTTTTAATTAATTTGAGAAGAAATATTTACATTAACATTAACGTGCCCGTGCAAAATTGACTATATCGTTGATTTGTTTTATGCATTTAAACTACTGACAGATAACAGATTTAATTCAATTGCTTAAACTACGTTCAATTGCATAACAAGAGATTTTTATTTTATATGCAATTAAAATAAAAATATTTGTTTAATACGACTACATATATGAATTTGTTTTCTGTTTCGACATTAAACATCTACTAAATTCATAATTTTTTTATATAAATGCTGCAGAAATATAAATATGTATACTTGTAACGCTATAATATTCTTGTACAGGGTGCGTCAGCAAAATCCGGACAAAGTTCAATTTAAATTTTTCGCTGTATTTTAACAATAGGTGTTTGTTGATGTTTAAATAGGCTAGACGCGTGTGACATGCATAATTTCGAAATGACCAAGTTAGTGAAATCGAGTGTGGGTTATAATTAAAAAACGGCAATTATTGGAGGTCCTCGCGGTGGAAGATTGCTGATTTAAGTTCTTCAGGTATCCGAGATTAACTGTGTAGAGCCTAACACAAAAATATGTGGTCTTGGAAAAATCCGAGGAGAGTTCTGTTAATACAACGAGAAAAATTCATTTGAAGGAGAAGACAGTAAGGACTTCGGCAGTTGTTCAAAGAGCCCAAGAGCTCATTTCGGAAATTCATTTTGTCACTTAGAAAATTGGCGATGGCGATATTGGTGATGATTGAGGCCATCATACATCGAATCGCTGAAGGAAACTTGAAATACACGTACGTAACCAAGATACGACTGATGCTATCTGAGGCTGGCGAGATCAATATGGACATGTTTTTCTGTGGCATCCCCAAAGTTCAGATTTAAACCCTCCAAACTATTACATGTGAAACATTATCGAAAGAATGTTACTAAAAGTGACTCTACACGGTCAATAATACTGATTAGTAACATTGAATTAATAATACTGACAGTATGCATCAATATTTTTAGTATTTTTACGATCTTACACAATCAATATTGACAATATATATTTTATTTTAGTTTTACATACGTTATCTATTATATTGTGACATACCTGTGACATGGATCCTAATAAAGTGATACCGAAACTTGAGAATCAAAATCTCGATCATCGTTAATATTCTACGTCAATCCATCAATATTAATCACATGAACAGTAATATTGTCAGTATTTGTTAATACTGACAATATTATTGACCGTGTAAGGTCATCTTAACAAATCCAGGCATCTCAACGTAGAATCCCTCCAGGTCGCTATTTTGAGGCAGCATTCGCAGATCTGGACCGAAAGCAGTTAAAAAGAACGTGCTCATGCTTAAGGCAGAGAATCAAGGGAGTGATCGAAGTGAAAGGGAGTTACATTGAATAACAAGACTAAGGAAGAATCTCTTAAGTGACATATAAAAGCTTTTTTGTAAGTTTAAGTTTTTGACTAATAAAAAGTAATAAAAAATATAATTGTTATAATAAACTGTTTGTTTTGTCCAGATTTTTCTGACGCACTCTGTATATTGTCAACATTATAACTTTTTTCTCTACAGTTACCAACTCTACTGACAATCAAAAATTTAGATGATAACATTAAAGTCATAGTTTTAAATCGAATATTATTCTTCGTTATTAATACATGTTAAAAATATTGGAAATGTACTTATCATTGTCTACTTTTCATTACGCACACGTCATATCCATTTCAAATCGTATTGAGAATGGTAAAATGAGAGGAGAACTGGTACGGCGATAAATTCAGCTAGATTATTCCATATAAGTATCTTTATCCCGTTTCATCTCTGCTCTGTTTGTCGATCAGGGTTTCGCCAGGAAACTCGTCAAAGAAGAACGTAAGCCATGCCTCAGAGCGACAAAGTAACGCTGGTAGCCGGCAGCAGTGGATGGTGGCCGTGGAGGATAGCATGCGTCATGGGAACGCGGTTACCACACAGACCACTCTCGTGAGTATCTTTTCGCTTTTTCTCTTTTTCTGTTTTCCCCCTTTAATGGTTACCGATACTCAATTTGCTTATGACAAGTTGGATTGAAACATACGAAGATATACGTAAACCATATTGGTGCCTGCAATGAGTTATTATAATCTTGTGATTTTCTCGCGTTGATGTTTGTCGTATCGGTTTATGAGTCGATTGTGTAAAACTATCGGGTAATTATTACGAAAAGGTTAAATCTCATCGACGACCTTGACTTTGACATATGTTGTCATCAGCGATGTTTAATTTCTTCGCAATAATTATCAACTATCGCGTTCAGGGCCATTTTCACTAACTCCAATTAACTTAATCGACCGATTAATCCATTGGAATTGACCAATCGTATCTGTCGTCAAAACTAAATAATAAATGCAAATTAAATAAATAAATTGGTCAGCTAGTCCTGCAAAGTGGAACGGTTAAGTTAACCAGAGTTATTTGATGCTCAGTTTGGCATTATTTTAAAGAGATCTACTGAAAATCTGTAAATACATTTATTGTAAAAAATATTATCTTGGCCGAGAATCAAACCGGGATATAGGTTTGGTTTCTTGCAAGAAGACAAAATTGTGACGATTGAATTGTGATGTATAAAATAGAATGTTTTAGATCTCTTTGACTTTTGAAGCTATTTGTATTTAAGATTGTTATAATGAAAACGTCATAGTTTCATTAAAGCGTCAATAATTTCAGAGTTATAAACGCAATTAAAAAAAAACAAGAAGCTTTTACATTTATTTTTTATAACTTGTAATTTGATAAATTTTGATAGCCGAAAACCCGTCATCAACGGCCGTATGGTTGGGAGAACGGGACCGTAGATTCGTTGCGATTGGCTCAACTGCCCAGTCCACCCAGTAAATTCGCCAGCTTGCCGTACGATGGCAAGGTGTCCTTCAACTGGATCCCACCGCGTACGAACCCGAGCGCGGTGGAAAAGCACCGGGAAGTGCGTCGTCGTTCCTCAGAGGAGTGTTTAGAGGACAGAGGTGGCAGCCATCAGCGACAGAGCAGTCCCGATCGCGTCAGCTACTATTTAAGGAAACATCACCGCCAGCAAAACGAGATCATGAAGTCGAGTAGCGTGGAGGACCGTCTGCTGATGAACAGGTCAGACAAGGAGTCGATGCGACGCACTCGTAATGATTCGGATTCGAGCGAGGGCCGGTTCTCGAGAAACTCTGAGTCTGAGAGTCGGTCCTCGATACCACGTTCTAGCTCCGTCAGCGTCGAACGGTTCTCCATGCGTGCCAACTGCGACTCGTCAGACTTTTCGCGCGCCAACTCCACGTCGAATGAGCGCTTCCACTCGGACTTCTCGATCGCGGTGGCAAGCGCAAGTTCGAACGATCATGTATCCGTGCCGACCTCTGAACCGTTTTCCATACGCAATCTCGATTTTGTTTCGTTCGCATTGCCGCACGTAGACTCGAGCGAACGTTTCTCTGCGCCTACATCCGACCATTGTTCTGAGGAGCGCTACTCTGACCTGTTCTCCACACGTAATTCCGATTTCTCCGCACGAAATTCGGCCGACTTTAGAACGCAATCGGAGGAGGAGCGCTTTTCCGATGACTCCTTGGAAGAGTTACTGCCACCACCGCCACCCATCAGCAAAAGACATTCCATTGCGTGGGAGGTTTCTTTGGAGGATGATCCTTTATACGCGCCCGGCAGCACTAAGGTTGTTGGTAGGAGACGACGAAAGAGCAGCGATGTATCAAGTAAGTGTCTTTTAGTATCAAGTAAGTGGTTTATTTTCCAAAAAAAGGATGATAGAATGATAGGTTTTTCGTGGTAATGAAAAGATTATCACATTCGTTAATTAAAAAATTAGGTGCTGCCAAATATGGTATCAAAATGTTTCTTTAAATAATATTAACTTATTCTCTTTTGAAAGAGATATCTTTTGGTAGTCGTTTCTAAGTGGACATGCCTTCAAGATTTCAAGATAATATTTATTTTTTTGTAGTTATATGTTTTCATTCAGCTAAGACTATTTCGTGACGAATTCGTTGATCTATGATATGTTAACCTTTCATTTGTTAGTGTTTAAGTTTTTTTCACTTATCATTTTTATTATTATAAATAAAAGACATGTGCCAGTTTATACAAGAACAACCAACATGAGGTGAGTAAAGATATGGATGAAACAGTTGATCATGTTTCAGGTGTAGGTTCCGCGTCGAAGTTGCGCGACTTCGACGACTGGCAAGATCAACGACTGTCGACGACTGATGATGATTTGATCTCGCCTTATTCGGACTCGTCCACGAACGATCTCGATCAGATACGGCCACAAGTGCTTACGAAAAACGGCACTTATGTCATACGACGCGGCAAGAAAGAGCGCAAAGTTCTACCGAAAACGCCGACCAAGACCAAAAGTTTGTCCTTCGAGAACAGCGAGAAAGACAGCCGACTATCGGATGTAAAACGATACTCGAGCACTTTCGACAACATCAAGAGTCTACTGAAAGAGGGCAAACTGGAGAGTCTAGAGGAGCCGTCTGTAAAATTTATGATTCCACCGCCGGATCTTATCCGAGTCGAATCGATGCCGGCGATCAACAACGACTCCAGCAATCGGGCCCAGCTGGAAATCACCGTAGAAGAGGAAGAGGCGTCCGACATTTCGGATAGGGACAAGGAGCGCGACAACATTAAATTATCTCGGTTACCACAGTCGCCAGTTGAGAACGATCAAATAAATCCTCGTCTGGATCAGTTGAGAGACTGCAATGGTGTTCCGACGGCTTCTAACTTAGTAGATCTGGATATCAGTAGGTTATCGGCACTCGCCGAGACGACGACAAAGAAAAAACTTACAAGCGCGGTGAGTGATGAGCGACTAGCTTCTAAGATCCCGGTAAACTTGCTGATTGAAGATCAGATTGTGAAAAAGGCGCTCAAAGAGAATCGTCGGCAGCTGGAGAAGGTGAGCGACGCTATCAAAGAGATCGAGAACGTGAAGAACAGCGAATCCTATTGCGAAAGCAAACACTGGCAGAATGGTGACTTGAAACATAATTCGAAGCGGAACAGCTTCGAGAACGACGGGTTTCCGGTATACGATGGCCGGAAACCCGTTACGATCGATGGCAGCCCCTATGAAAGCAGGACGCGCGGCAGGCAGCAGCAACAGCAGCAGCAGTACAACTCTGACTCCGAGACGTCGAAGACCAGCTCGGATGCGGACTTCGAGGATCGGAGAAAACTGAACGGTGCTACCGATGTCGTCTACTCGTCCGGCAGGCGGTTGCGTCAGAATGGTATCGAGAATCATAAAAACGATCAGAAGCAGATCGAGAACGTGATCGACGCTATTCTGGAGGATTCGAAAAATCCGGAATTTCAGGTAGGAGTGGAATCAGTGAGTTTTACGAACTCAATCACTTGAATATCTTACGAATGTTAACCACGCATTATCTTAAACGCATTATCTTAAAATGTCGACACGAAAAAACGAAGCGAAAATAGAGTTTATCTCTACGATAAGAGCTATTAAGGTACATCTGCGTAGTGAAAAATGCAGAGGCTATACGGCTCGTGTTGGGCGTGCGCCGCGATGGTAAAAAAGTGTCGAGCAGCTAAGACCGAAGCGGGGTGTCTCATAAATTGGTAGCATTACTTCTATAAAATAGGATTCCATTAGCGATGCTGGCTCTACGATCACATTTTTTTGTCGTAAAATGTAGAAGTATCTGAAAAACTGCCGCGCGTGCAGTCTGCTGCTTGCAAATCCGTTTTTAATGATTCCCGCGTAGTTGACCTTAGCGAAAAGTTTTAATTTTTTATTATGTAATATATATGATATCAATTGTGTGTGTGTGTGTGTGTGTGTGTGTGTGTGTCTGCGTGCGTGCGTGCGTGCATGTATGTGTGTGTGTGTGTCTGTCAACTAATATTTTTAACTCCTTGTTAGTTTTTATTTGGAACATTTTCAGTAATTATATTTATATTTTCGTAAAATTATATTCAATGAATAGTATTGATAAATCTTGATCAAAATCCCTCGATATATATTCGTCTTTTAATTAAAAGTATAAAATAATAATAGTAATAACTACCATAATATTTTTCTCTGAATGTGATTATTTATTATAATAAATAATCACATTCAGAGAAAAATTAAAAATATAAACTAATAATTATTAGTTTATATTTTTAATTAAAAGACGAATATATCTCGAGGAATTTTGATATCACAACATTTTCATATTATATACGATAATAATAGTAAGGCTATAAGGATTGATATTATAAATCTTTTGAAGCATTTGTAGCGTTAAATGGACCGCATCCCAAATCATTTGCCTTATTTAATATAGAAAGATAAATTTAAATTTATTTCAAAATTAAGGTTGACTTCTGACATTATATTCATTAAGCAATATTTATTTTTTATAGTAAATACTGTTTGTTTTATAAATCTTGAGTTTCTTTCAAAACTTCTTATATATTTATTGCGTTGAACTTTTGAAATATTAATGATCGATAATTTAGTTTTATTCAACTAGCTATTCTATTTTAATCAAATATTACTTTGAATAGTTAATCTTTTAAGCTTATTGTCCGTAAAAATCGAAACTGATCCATGATGAATTAAGTAGATGCTTAGATGCAGAGATAGACTGACTTTTCATAAATTTGTTTCTTTTTTCGGGAACAGAATCCGAACATTTTATGATCACGTTGCAAGTAAGTTGCGAGTTTTTGTAAGAGATAAATTCACACACAAATTGCCAATGAAGTTGATAAAATTTTCTTTCCATCTCCAAACTAACTTAGAAATTGCTTCGTTCTGAACTGCAGTTTGCTATATCTTGACAGGTGAATGTCGATGTAATGGAGTTCCCGCCATTGCCGCCCTCGCCCGTCGAGGAAGCTGACGAGGAAAGCTGCTCAGATATCGGTCAAAATGTTGTGATGACGCCACTGAAATCCAAGAATCATAACAGTAGCCGGACCGTAGAGTACAGACCAAGAGTGCCACCCCATCGTGTTCCATCGATCATCGATCCAAAAGATAAGGCTTCCTTGAATACCAGGTCCATGGATGCCGGTTTTACCAAGGGGAGACGTGCACCAGCCACCAATAATTCAAGACGAGAAGTGAGTTTGTTTGAAGTATTTACTTGGAAATATAACGTACAATGTTATCTCTCATCGGGGGGAGGGGGTGTACAACTAATTTGTATACCTAATAACTGTTTATATATAGTAAAATGATAATAATAATATATATATATATATAATAAATTTTACGTAAAGATTAAAGTGCAATTAAACTTATAATAGGTGAAGCAATGAAAAATTACTTAGAATCAACTGTTGTGTGCAATTGAGTTGTATGCAAGTATACCGCTCCTATTACATTTAAGATTATTACACAGAATCCCCAATCTACGGGATCATCTCTCATAAGCAGATAGAGCGGAATGAATCGAAAAGTTTTGTATCATTTTGCAATTTTTGCAATACTTTAGGAGATATTAATTTTTAAAGAACATTGAATAGCACGTATCACTAAGTATATACCATCAATCATGATCACTTGTCGCGTGGAGACTGTCTGCTAGGCGCACGCTAAGTGCCATAACTCAAATAGCATGCCTGTACCAAACAGTCTCTACTCTTCGCGTGAAAATATGATATCTTTTAAATTTAAGATTAATATTATATTTCTAGTTGTATGTTCTTATTAATTAAGTGTCCTTTTGTCCTTCAGGTACCCGTAGAACGAAGAACTCTGCCCACCGATTTACCAGGACCATCTCGCCGACGACCGTTTACGAAAAGGCACTCGCCATCAGCGGAGGCGTGTTCTTCCGGGAGCAGTAACAACGGTAGTGGTCTGCACACCGGTAGCAGTATCGTTACTGGCACTGGTTCCGGTATGCAGACATCGTGTTCTTTACCGGAGACCCCAGTGTTTGCCAGGGGCAGCGACATCCCTAGAACGCCGCAACACGCTGGCAATCCTACGCAGTCAAGACGGCAACCCGGCTGGTATGCACCTACCACAGCTACCGGGTAAGCATCAATATCCTCTTATTTATTTTGCATCCTAGATCTGATCATTCTAATTAATTATAAGACATTTTCTTGACTGAAAAATGCTTTACGATTGAAAAATAAAGACAAAATATTTAGTCCATTTGTTAAAATTGATTTGACCTCTTTCGTTTTTGGATATGCTTCATATATAAGAAGTTATTCATTCTTTACTAATGTTGCTTCTTCACTTTTAGTTACCGACGGAACAATCCTGGTCTGGAGCAAGCTATAATTGGCACTGAACTTCTCCGACTGGCAGGAGGTCCAAATCGCGGATGGTATCCTACAAGAAAGGCAAATCAGCCACGGCCGGCGTCAATCGAACATCTCGAACGACTTAACAATGCCTATGATGCACGATTACCAGGCACCGGGGACCAGAGGAAACCGCTGACTCTGCCCACAAACATCACACCCAACAAATACTTCGGCCAAAGTAAGCACAGCTCCGCCTCCAGCACTCGTGAGGCGCTACGGAGGGTCACTAGCTTGCTCATCAAGAAAGGTAAGCGTCGGGGATTTGCGCTGTTAGAAAAAGAAAGCACTACGCCTAAATGTTCGGCGTGTGGCGTAGTTGGAAAACACGACGTTATCAGTAACTTTGAAATATCATGAACTTCATTTGTGTTCAAAATGGATTTCACGGTTCTGTATTCATTTTTTTTCGGCAGTGCTATTATGAATTTAACACAAGTTTTCAATAATGCACGTTAAAAGAGACTCGCATATGTGCATATATGACAGTTCGACTTCATGCTTTGAATTATTTTTTGATATATGTATTAATGGTACTTGTAATAGTATTGCTAATGAACCGTAAAATGTTAGTTGGAACACAAATGTAGATATGATTTTTAATATTGCTTTGATAGAGATTTTTTAAGCGATAAGCAATAATTTTTATTGAATTTTAATTAGTGTATCATATCTTTATATTTATAGAAACTTTCCAGACAATACAAAATCCAAAATTGAGATACAAGATGTTTTTAAGACGTCTTATGTCCCCATTTTTGTATTATCTGGGAGGGTTTGATTTATTTATGATTTTCTTAAATTTCAAGAAAACATTTCTTAAGAAATTAAATTCAGTTTCTTTTAGACTATATATCATATTGCTTTTTTATACATTATTACATAACAAATTCTTAATAAATTAATACATGTTTTATAATCATATTCAAATAATATTACTAATTGTAAAAATTAAAATAGAAAAAACTTTATAATAATTTCAATTTTGTTCATAAAAGAAATTAAGAATGAATTACAGAAGTTAAGCGATATATTTGTAGTGTATTCATTTTCTTAATATATTTTATACATTTTAACATAAAGAAAATTAATAATAGCAATTACAATATAGCATATATAATAATATCAAATGGCTTATAATGTTATTTAATTACTCTCATTTATATTTAATTTAAAAAGTAATAACATTGATTAAACTTTATAATTGCCATGATATCGCTTTAAAAATCACTCGCGTCGTGTTTCCTAAAGATTTCGCTATTTGAAATCCCGTAAGCTTTAATAAATAACCTGCAAAAGAGTTTTCGGACTAATATCGTGTGACCTTTCGTGGCATTTGAGTGCTACTAATTTTAATGCTCTCTCATTCTTTGATGTCTTGGAATGCTCATTTTTATGTAATCCTATTATTGTTATATAATTATTTGGAAATTGTAATTTATATTTATGCACATTCTTGAAATTTCTCATACTTTTAAAAACTTACATAAGCTCTATGAAGAATAAAAAGAACATAAAATGCTCAGCAAACACAGAAATATAATTACAATATTATGTTGGACGCGTCATATTTTTACATTGATATTATAATACATAAAATACAAAATGTGTTTTATCATAGTGACATTAATATATTTTATTATATACATACATATATACATAATCTATAAAATAATTCTTATATGAATCTTGCATTATTATATTGTTTACTTATTATATAATATATTATTGTTATATAATAAAATAACAGCAACATAATCAGGATATAACACATTTGTATGTTATGTTACAGTTAGATAAGTGTTATATAACAGGTTATATAACAGAAGAGCAAAAGGGTTTGCGGGTTATTACCATCCATATCGATTCATTGCTAATGCTAATGTTTCGTGAATCTTGCCGTTTATTTCATTAAGACGAAGAACTCACTGATCCTGAACTACTTCTCCAGAGAACGCCCCTTATATAAACTCTGTTAAGGGAAGTGAAGATCGGAGAGGGGGAAGTATCGTACTTTCAGCGGACAAAGGTAACGCGACAGTAGTCATGAAAATAAAGATACTCTTTTCGGATGAAACGTACATCAGACTAGATAAAGACCGAACAAACAAGATTATCAATGTCTTATTTAAAAAAAAGGCAGGCTACCCAACAGAACTAAAGCATTGAAACCCATAAATCTCCTTCCACTAAGATTATATAAACTGTCAAAAATACGTAAACCTGATGTTCCTTTTGCAAACATTTTTATGGAACATTTTGATGAAAAAGTTTTTTGCAAGACACTTCGGAGGATATTAACAGGATAATCAACAGATGCAGGAAAGAACTCGGATATACAACAATCACAAGATGAGTTAAACAAGAGAAGCCTTTCTATCCTCTCATATGTAAAAGAAACAACAAACCGAATCGGCAGGATTTTGAACAAACACAATGTTCGAATCATTTTCAAGCTCTCAAGGAAGATCGAGCAAATCTTGAGAAATCCTAGAGACCGAAAGCCTTCACTCAGTTCTGTAGAAGTATAAAATGTCTTGTTCTTTCGGGAAAGTATACATTGATGAAATTAGGAGACCATTGATGAAATGGTCAATGTGCGCATGAAGGAACATCGACCGGGTATTATATTGAAATGTCACACAGTCAGCATTGGCAGAATATAGCATTGAGTTAGAACGTCAAATACTATTATATTTAATAAAACAATTACCATAGCCACAATGGCATCATATTTTTTAAAGAAGTACAAGGAGATTTTAGAAATCTAGAAACATCCAGATAACTTAAACAGAGACATGAGCTATAACGAAATTATAGAATATGGAAAACTCTTCCTCCTCTCCCTTCCTTCAAACACCACCCTTCTCTTTAACAAAGTTTATCTAAAGGAAGTCCTCCAGAGAAGCAGTTCAGTATCAGCGAACTTCTCGCCCTAATGAAGTGAACAGTAAGGTTCCCGCGCGCCTAAATGCATTAGTAATGGATCATGACGTGGCGATAACCCACAAACTTTTTGGAATCTTTGAAGAAAATACCCGTAAAGCCTTAAAACTTTTATCAATTATACAATATATATATATATATATATATTGGAATAGAATGCCCCATATAAATATAGATATATATATATATATAT